CATTTACTTATAGTGGGCAACGGGGCCGGACCCAGCACCTGGTGAGAAAGCGTCGAAGTCTTCAATACCGTCGGGCGCTGAATCACTGTTACATGAAGAAGACGAGAAGAAGAAGGGAATAAGATCTGAAGAAGACCATTATTTTGCAGTTTGGGCCCTTTTTTGGCCCCTTTGTTTTTGGTTGAGAGAGTTTAGCCTTTTTTAAAAAAGAAATAGGCCCAATATAAATTAGGTTGTGGCAAGATGAATGTGAGGGAATTAAGCTATAGTTCTGAAAGGAAATATTTTATGAAATGCGTTATGTAGCACATACTACAGATACAATTTATGATTGAGATGGTTCTTAGCACTTTTAGACTCCATAATTGGGCTTTGTGAATAGGAGACTAAACCAATTCAATAAAGGTGTGCTAACTGATGGTTGGACAAAATGAATTGGTCCTAGACGAAGTTGAACGAACAAGTAAGATTCATTTTGACGTGCCTAGATGTTTGGAATGCGATAAAAATTATGTTAGTTGATCTATTAATGCTATTTTCAATTTTAAACTGTTCTGATCTCACTATTAATTTTGTGATTTTGGTTGCTCAAAGATCTTTTCTTTTTATTACTTAAATCAATTCGCGATGAGTGGAACACAGAACTATGGAGGACATTTCCACCACGGACAAACACACATTAATAAGTAAATACTAATAAACTATTTTCTGTGCTCTTTTATTGGCAATGGTTAAAAGTGTTTACAGTCAACAATCAACATTCTCTCCGTCCGTGCTGAAATTTTGTGTTGGGTCCTTTACTAGTGGGCAATAGTTTCTATGAGTTGGCAGTTTTTGATATATGTATTTCAATAGATAAGCTCTGTGAAACCTTTTACCGATGGAGGATTTGTTAAGCATATGCAGGTGATTTTTTGTTCGAAGCCAAATGGAGCCAAGCTCGATTTTCTCTATAGTTGTGCTAACATCATCCATTATTTCTTTATTCAAACGTGATAACGAATTTCTTCTTGATGTTTTTGACTTCACAACAAAGAAAAAGTTAGCCATGTTTTTCTCCATTTTAAATAAAATTTCTTTAATTCCTGTACTCATTTTCAACCCGTGATCATATAATAAAATTTTTTTACGTAAATTAAATTTTTTTTTCCACATTTTTAACTACACATTCTCCAAAAAATTACTATTCAAAACATTATTTTTTTTTCAAAATAATGATCATCAAACAAGGGTTTAGTCTACGACATTCTTGCCACTATCATTTTTGCATAATGTTATATACCTTTTTTTTTTTTTTTACAAATTATTTATTTTTGATTAAATTTTGTGGATATGTAATGTTTAAATGAATTAATTTAACAAGAGTAATGCTGGAATGTAAGGGTAATACAACCTTGCTACACTTCAATTTTTCCTTACACTTTTCTTTACATTTTTATACATGATGACATCTGCACTCTTGATTTTGAACTTGTCTATCGCATCACTGCACAAATTTCTTCTAAATATCGAGAATATCAATAAAATTGTCATGGGTGATGTATATATAGCATTATTCATGGCAATAAATATATAGAAATAATCGAATGTTCATGGTAGACATGAGTTATAATGTTCACTGTGGACGTGGCAACATGCAATGGTGCCACGTCCCACCATGCGCATTAAATCACATCTGAATGAATATAATCCTTTTTAAATTTTAAAATTGTAATAATGATAGATTTAGAGTGCGATATATCTGTAAAAGCGGTGTGGATGTGTAGTATTTGGATGGATAAATTTAATAAGCATAATGTTGAAATGTAAAGTGAACGAATATAGTATTTTTTTTTTATTTTTTGTAAAATTTAACAGGAGAGGAGGATAAAAAACAATTAAGTGATCTCAATTTTTTAAAAAATACATTTTTCTTTCTTCTTTTTAACAACACGTTCTTTAATAAAATAATAGTGAACAATATACAAATAAGATATTTACGTATCATTATTTCAAAATTAAGGATAGATGTTTTAAATTTCAAAAATCAGGTTTTCATTAAAATTTATTTATAATTTAATTAATTATATATTTAATTAAAATATATATAAAGGTCACATATCTATGCAATCTGATCACAATTCAAAAATTTTATAGGTTACAGTTTGTTCATCGGTCACAAATTAAAAATTTAAAAGTCGCTATTTGTTTATCGGTCACAAATCACAAAATCTATAAATCACACAACTTATTTTATAGTCGCAAAATATCAAATTATAGGTCACATTACTTTTATTGGTCACAACTCGACTATAACTTAATAAAATGTGAGTCACGGTCACAATTTTCAGGTCATATATTATTAATTTGTCAAAAATTAACCAATCATTGGTCACAACTAACCAAATAATTGGTCATGGACACCCACGCCCATCTTATCCCACCCACGACCATCATACGACACTGCACCTACCCAATCGCAATCGTCGCCGCACGCACAACGACCCAACTGCAACCGCCATCGCACGCGCGCGCGCACACACACACACACCCATTAACAGTTCATTCACCCACAGCACCGCGACCGCACCCACAGCACCGCGTGCACACACGCCCTCTCATACTTCGCGTCGAAGCAGCGACGCTCACACCTCTACCAACACCGCACGACACACCTCCATCGCATCAATAAAAAAAAAAAAGAACGGATTTGCACCAAGACCACTGAATTTGCACAAAGTCGTCGGACGAGGCTACACCATCTCGTGGAGACTGGGTTGTCGATGGAAAGGGAGTAGAGTGGAGAAGAGAGAAGGTGGAGAGACGGAGAGAATATAGAAGGTGGAGAGATGGAGAGGATATAGAAGGACCGATGGTGGTTGCTCGCCGTGTATGGAGATACGGTGAGAGAGTGGAGAGGATATGGATTAGTTTAGTGTTTGGATAGTTTAGGTATATATAATTTTTTTTTTTAATCTTTAATAAAACCTGATTTTTGTATTGTGAAACTAGATACCTGGTTTATGAAAATGGTATTTTAAAATCAGGTATAGATGTAATTTCCTCAAAATAATATTACATGAATCTAAAATCTTTTCCTTCATTTTTAATCACATTTTCATCAATTCATTATTCCAAAAAACATTTAAAAAAAAGCCCAAGCCCTAAATACATATTAAGAGCTCATTTGATTCACATTATTGTAAAATGAGAATGAAAAATATAGTCATTATTGACCTCACACAAGAGATAGAAATTCAAAGTTGATAGCTTGATGTGATGAATAACGGTCATATTTTTCATTTTTATGGATGAAAAATGAGAAACAAACGGAATCTAAGCCTGTTTAGTAGCCATTTTAATTTGTTTTGTAAAAAGATGATGTCTAGCCATCATAATGGTTGGATTTATTGATAAATTTAAGTGAACTTACATTTGTACACCTTTACATTTATTTCATGAGATAATTACATAAAATCAGCTGTTTACTTTTAAATTTATGAAAATTAGGTTTAAGCTTTTTTTAAATGAAAAATTATATTTTATAATTTTTAATTAATAATGATATTATAAAATTTAAATAACCTATATACCCACCCTACTACCTACCCCACCAAATTTATTTTAAATATAAAATCTTAAATCTACCCAAAACCCTAACCTAATCCTTCGCAGCAGCGTCCCTGCCCCTTCCCCTCCCTCTCCATCCCTATGTGTCTTGATGCAGTGATGAGCAAAATACATTGTTCTTTTCCTTTACTCTTTCTTCTAATTTCTGTTATGCGTAGACTCTGACGAACAGCTGGTACAGTAGTCTGTTATGTAACGCTCCTGGGGTGTGTGGTTGTGGCGAATTGGCTGTTGTTGTTTGCTGTGGGTGGCGGATTGGTAATTGGCTGTTGATGTTTGCTGTTATTGGTGGTTGGCTGTTGCGGGTGACAGATCTGTTGTTGTAGGGGGCTGATGTGGGCGAATTTGTTTGTGTGTCATGGTAGGTGGTGAAGGTCAGCGGATTGGGTTCAGTTTTCGTCTTGTCGTGTGCTTTGTAGCTGGTTAGTTTGTGTTCGTGTGGTGGCGATAAAATGATCATTTGTGTGATGGTGTTGTGATGGGCCCGACGATATTGGTGGTGTTGTGTAGGGGGCGACGATGGCGGTTGTTGTTGGTGTTATTGTTGGAGGGTGGTTGTGACTTGGCGGTGGCGGCAAGTATGAGATGATGTGTATTTGGTCGATCTGTGACCTGTGCCCAAGTATTGGTGGTGTAGTGAGATTGGGAGACGGGTTCGGCAGATGGGATGAAGTGTCTGTGACCACCATTTGGTCGATCTGTGACATGTGACCAAGTATTGGTGGTGTACTGAGATTGGGACTGTGACCTCAAAATTCGTTAATATGTGACCAAAAAATATGGAATAATTTTTTTAAGTTGTGACCAATTAAAAATATGTGATCTCGAAATAATCTGTAACCGATTAATTTAATAAGTTGTGACTGAAAATTAATTTTTTAACTACTTAATAAGATATCTGTGACCTCGAAATCGGAGCAGTTATCGAAATTAAGCGGTGGCGAAACGGTCGCTGGAATTAAGTGTGGCCGGAGAACAGTCGCCGGAGTAGTCGCCAGAGCAGTAGGGGTGGTGGAGATGGGGGGTGGGGTGAGATTAATTATATTATATTACAGTTAAATATTTAATTTAATATAATAATTGTGAAATATAATTAATTAATTCATGAAAAATCTGATTTTTGTAATTCTAAATTTTGGAGTTTAATTTTTAATTTTGGGATAGATAAAGTCTGAGTTGTGAATTTTTCCCCTATTTGATTGTGTGCTGCTGAGTCAAAAAGGACAACTGGGATGGACACGTTACTGTTACAACAGTAAAAAAAATTTTAAACGTGCCAAGAAAATGGCTACTAACCACGGTGCAAAAAATATTAAAACGTAACGCTTCAACGTCCCAAATCCGAAGCCCTTTTTACTCCCACCGATAGTTTTCAGGGTATTATCAATTCAATGGCTGCCACTCTAAAGGCGGGCTTTTTCCTCCAGAGTAAATCCGGCTGCCATTCACTTCAAAGAATCAAGCCTTTCAGATTTAAGCCTCCCATGGCCACTCTCGCCGCTGTCCCTGCTGTTGGACTCTCTGACACTTTTTCCAAATTGAAACGACAAGGCAAAGTAAGCAGCATTCTTGACTCTCTTTTTTTCTTTTTCTGGTTTATCTTTTTCAAGTTTGATGTTTTACTGCTTCTGCTTTGAATTTCTGGCTAGAACTCATTTTTTGGTTCTTTTTTTGGGTGTTTGGATGGGGAACTGGATTTTGGGCCTTCCTTTTTTTGTGTGTGCAATATAGAAGATGGATGATTTCATGTTTAGTATTTTTTTCTCTATTAGAATGACTCTATCATTCTGGGAAAAGAAATTGTAATTCTGACATTGAATAATTTGCCTCTGTTTGCTCATAAAAGGACAAAGATTTCTAATATAAATTTTTCAAAAAAAATTGTTAACTCACATAAGTGAGAGAAACGATGCCACTGCGCTTTATTTCCTTATTTGGGTTGCTATTTTTTATAAGTTTCTGCATTTAAGTAGTCAAGTTTTGATCAGTTCTTCCATAAGAGGTTGGGGCAGAGGAATCCTATATGATATAATGGATAATTTCTCCTATCTCTGTGCAAAGTGAAAATCATATCGTTTTACACACTTTCACGATATTGATTGATGATGTTTTACGTACAATTTTCTAAGTGCAATATTTGTATTAATTAGCATGCTTTTATTTAAAAAGGTGGCATTCATCCCGTATATAACGGCTGGCGATCCTGACCTTTCGACTACAGCTCAAGCGCTGAAGGTCCTTGATTCATGTGGCTCAGACATTATAGAAATAGGGGTGCCTTACTCTGACCCATTGGCTGACGGTCCCGTTATACAGGTTCAAATATGTCATTAGATACTTATTATGTCATAGATTCGAATTCCTAATTGATGCCGATTCATTTTTCTGAGTCTTGTTTTGTTTACACAGGCAGCTGCTACACGTTCGCTAGCTAGAGGAACTAACTTCGATAAAATTATTGCAATGTTGAAGGACGTAAGTTCACCTTTTTAATGTTATGATATCTAATAAGTCACAAATAAAACAGACTGAATGTAATGCACAATTTTGGTTAATCTCTATTCCTCATCAATAGATGCAGACTGTGCTCAGTTCTGTAATAGACTCGGTAGTTTGTTAAGGCGATATTTTATTCTTTTTTACAGGTAATACCTCAATTATCTTGTCCGATTGCACTGTTCTCATATTATAACCCAATTCTTAAGCGTGGCGTACAAACATTCATGACCACTTTGAAGGATGTCGGGATACATGGTAATATGTTGTTATACTTTGCCGAATGCGGTTCTTTTATTTTTCGCTATATTATGATAAATTTTCTGGCAAATTACCTCAGACATTCATCTTTTCAGGTCTTGTCGTACCAGATGTCCCTCTGGAGGAGACGGAGATACTGAGAAAGGAAGCTGTTAATAACAATGTGGAATTGGTTGGTGTTCCAAATTAATAATTTTTGTTCTTTGTGTGAGATTTGTAAAGTTGCATATTTTACCTCATTATGTAGTCTGATACATGCTTTCAAGCGGCGAGCCATCTGATTTTTAAACTGGTGACCAGATTATGATTAAGGGGGTTGCCATAGAGGACAGAACTTCTTGAAGTCTATTTACTGTGTGCTATTGTCTCGATATCATGACTTTCTTTTTATGAACCACTGGATCAATTTTATGTCAGACACGTACAATCTAAAAAAGTCTAGTTGGTGCGCTTGCAAATTTGCAATTAAGTAATCAGTCTTTACAATTTGGATTAGAAGGAAGTACTACAAATAATGGGACCTCTTTAAAAATGTTTGTCTTGTCCTTGTGAAATACATTTTCTCCAGAAACATGATCTCTCTTAAAGAATATGATAATTAAATCATTATTTTATCTGTTTACTTGGGCATGAATGTGACTTTAGTTGGCGCATTTTTTTTTACGATTTTCCACTTTCTCGATTCTCGTCTGCTATGTAAGGTGCTGCTCACAACACCCACAACTCCTATACCGCGAATGAAAGCCATTGTTGAAGCCTCAGAAGGATTTGTCTACCTTGTAAGTTGCTTATTCTCCTTTTCTTAATCGAGGGATCTGCTGTATTACAGATTCTATTTTTGGACAAAAAGTTCTTACCCAACGTCTCTTGCAGATGGAACTTTCTAGATTTTTCAAAGCTTGTCCTTCCTCGTTTCTGTTGATTTTGTATGTCAAATATGCATTTTTACTTAAATTTTTCATGCCGTTGCTAATGGTTTTGTTTGAACCTCTTTTAATGGCAATGCCTTCATACGAGACTTCATATAAAACCTATATACTGAAATGTTTTTTTTTCTCCTTGCCTGGAGAAGGTTTACTTTTCCAAACGAAAATTTTATATTGTTTCAGGTCGTTCAAATCTTTAATATTTTGGCAAGTATTCTTTGAACTGATTGTAATACATTGAAGGCATTATCATTTAACTTTTTTACTTCTTTTGGTAAGACAAACGTCTTTCCATTTGATACTTTAATTTACTCTACTGTCACTTCTTCCAGTTGAAGTTATCTATTTATTTTTTCATAGGTGAGCTCAGTTGGAGTTACGGGAGCTCGTACATCTGTCAGTGATAAGGTCCAATCTCTCTTACATGAAATTAAAGAGGTAAATATGGTGATCACACGGTTTATCCCCAACTAAATTTCTCTAGTACCTCATGTGCTCCAGATTTTCTCATTAACCTGTCTTCTATTTTGCATTTTCATTTTTTTCCTGTGTCCAACCCTTATTCCGTGTACTCAATCGTCATTTTGACAGGCGACGAGCAAGCCAGTAGCAGTTGGTTTTGGTATATCAAAACCCGAGCATGTGAAACAGGTACATCTTTTACAATATATTTCAATACCCTCGATTATTATCCTTTTAAGTACGACGTAAGTCCACTATTTAAGCATCGTGTATTACAGGTAGCCAGATGGGGTGCAGATGGTGTGATCGTTGGTAGTGCGATGGTAAAAGTACTCGCGGAAGCAAAATCTCCTGAAGAAGGCTTGAAAGAATTGGAAAACTTCACCAAATCCTTGAAGGTTGCTCTGTTGTGATGAAATAATTTGGTGTTGAATCTGTATTGCAGCAAGTGAATTGGTTAGAATTTTATTACTTGATAGAATTACAGTTTGCAGCATTTTAAGCCCCTGTTTGATTTTGCCAAAAATTGGATTTTAGAGAGATTTTGATAAAAGTTGATGAAACGTTTGATAGAAAAAGTTCATAGAAGTTGTGGACCGATTAAAATTAATTGTTTACTTAGCTAAAACAAATAGAATTCTTTCTCACTGATAATTGATTATCAGTGGACTCAACATGCAAGTCATTTCCTTCAAGATGAAAAAACCAGGGGGATATGGTCCCTACTTCTCTTTGTATGTACGGCAGTTTTGAGCATGATTATCTATGCTTAAAAATAAGTAAAAATTATTGTAAGTAAATTTATTTCCGGATAAAGTTATGATTTTCTTAAAAGAATACTTATTTTGAAAGAAAATGACTTGTACATTATTGTCAAAATAGAGAACTTGTTTTTAGTTTCTTGCAATAAAGAATATTTGCTAAAAACTTTACTTAATCCCTATTTAACAACTATTTTTAGTGTCTGTTTGACATTCATTAATTTATTTTATGTTTACAACGGGATCATTTTTAATCACACTTTTACAAAATACAATATTCTACACTTGTACCAAATTTTTTTCTCTATTTTTTAACTACGCATTCTCCTAAAAATACTATTAAAAACCCTTTTTCCTAGTTAATGAGAATCAAACTTGCTCTAAGAAAACTCATTTTTTTTTTCGCATACTCACTTTCAATCACACATTTTCAAAATAAAATATTCTATACTTAAACTAAAATTTTTAATGAGAATCCAACACGCTCTAAGAAAACTCTTTTTTTTTTTCGCATACTCATTTTCAACCACATTTTCAAAATAAAATATTCTATACGTAAACTAAATTTTTTTTCTACCTTTTAACTAAATACTCTCAAAAAAAAAATTATTATTCTAAACTCATTTTCCCAAAAAAAATAAAAAAAAAAACTCTTTTAATGATTGTCAAACAGGAGTTTATTTAGCACTTGTTTGACCCGAATATTTAGAATGCATTTTCCGCTTGAGCTCATTTTTAATCATAAATTCTGCCTTTTAACTAAATATTCTTTAAAAAGTGATTTTTTTAAAACTCATTTTCCCAAAAAAGACTACTACTTAGTGGTTGTCGAACGGGAGCTTATTTAGCACTTGTTTGACCCAAATATTTAGAATGCATTTTCCGATTAAACTCATTTTTAATCACAAATTTTGTTAGATTCACAATTTTTATCAACTTTTCAATCATATATTAAATCAATTTTTATCAAGATTTACTAACATTATTATTTTTACCCAAACCAAACAAGGTCTCAATTATAAGTGAACATTTTGAGTTCAGCCAAACACGTCGTGGGCAATCTACTCCAAGCCATAAACTTTTCCAGCAGAAAATATGTCAAGGAAATAATACATACAAGTACACTAACTATTACATTTTAAAATTAACAAACTTGTCAAATTATTTCAAAATTAAGGTATTAATTCCAATTAATAATATATATAATATATAATTAAATGAAATTAATTATCCCCACTAAATTAATAGTATCCCCCACCCCCACCAAATTAATAAAATTCCAATTAATGATATCCTCTCACCGCACAGACCCCAGTACCCCACCCACTCGACCTGTAAAAAAAAAAAAAAAAATTCAAAAATTGAAAACTTTTATTTGGAGATTACACCCTATTTTCAGAACCATCCCCACCGACCCTTACCCCACCCCACCCCACCCCACACAATCCCTAGAAATCTTCAGAAATTGAAAACTTTTTACGGAGATTATACCTGGCCCCATGGAACCAACCCTACATCTAGAAAATTTTCAAAAATTAAAAACGTTATCTGAAAATTACACCACAACCACGGACTAATTGTGTTTTTAGTGATCAAATTTATTATTTGTGACCATACCTGTGTTATATATGATTAATTGTGATCAAATTTGTCTTCAATGTGACTATTTATAACCGTCTAATTTGTGGCTGTACGTAACAAGGTCACTAACCTGTGTTAACTGTAACTAACTGCGACCAAATTTGTCTTCAGTGTGACTGTTTGTGACCAAGTCAATCTAAACTGCGACGGTATGTGACCAAGTCACAATAGATCACAATTAACACAAAATTGATCACAACTAATCACAATAACTAGACACTTGGTCACATACGGTCACCACAAATAAATTTGCACACACCGCAAATCAGCGCCACAATCCACCACTAGCCACCATCACCTTTATTGCACCACCACTACCACCTTCAATTCAAGTCTACGGCCATAAATACTACATTCACTGACGTGTTATTTATGACTAATCGTGATCAAATTTATCTCCAACGTGATTGTCTGCGATCATGTCAGTTTAATTTGTGATTGTATGTGACTTAGCACATACAATCATAATTTACATAGATGCAGTCATAGACAGTTACAATGAAGTTATACTAGATCACACCCAGTTGCCGTCACCACCACCACTCCCAACAACATCGAGAACCAAACGCGCACCAAGACCACAAGCACCATCAGCAACAGTAGAAACATCGTCGCCTACACCACCAACAGATACACCAATAACAAAAGAACCACTCCACATCAAGAAATCACCGGCACCATTTGCAAAACACCAACAACCATCCCAAAACTCTAGCTAAACAACAAATCATGTGAAACAACCGCCCACCCACCACATCTGATCAAACAACTGCCTACACCGCATCAAACAACAAATTAGATCAAACCACCACTCAATAAATCAATTTCAAGCTGCTCAACAAAAATGCCAACGCTCACCCTGAAGCAACGATGGTTCGTTGAGAGCAGAGCTCGTCGCTGCACCGAAAAATGGGAGGGTTAGAAAAGTGTTGGTTGGGGGTGGAGAAGAAAGAGAGTGAGAAGCCGCCGTTGCACATGCTGAGTCGAAAAATTGGGTGTTAGAAAAGGGTGGGTGGTAAAGAGAGAAGGAAGAGAAAGAGAGAGTTTGAAAATGAAATTGGATGGGATGGATAGGGATGGAGAAGATTATGTTTAACTAAATGGTTATTATATATATATATATATGTATGTGTGTGTGTGTGTGTAAACTAATTTCCCTTATTTATGATAATTATTCTTTAATTGTAGGTTTCTAGGTAATTTGCCCATAGGTTAATTCTAACAGAAGCTCTCGAAAATAATTGGAACAATACGTACCATGATCCTAAAAATTATGTAGCCACTAAAAACCAACAAGAAGACAGGCAAATTGATATACAAAAATCCCCGTAGATTTTAAATTTCCTTCTCCTATATTACAACAAGAACGACGCGATTAATGAAATAACGCACACCATTTGGTATCGTGCTCCAAATGTTTATAGTAGTCGAACTCAAATATGCTCTGACTACGGTTAATTAATTGGACAAATAATTGACACATTCACAATAAATAAGTGCTATATGGGTCTCTGACTACCGTTAATTAATTGGACAAATAATTGACTCACTCTCAATAAATAAGTGCTATATGTGTTGCTGCATTTCTTAAATTTTGCTATTTATGCAGGAACCACTTACGGCTGAATCTTGATACTGGGTTGGAGCCCAGCTTGAACTTTGTTCGAGAAATGTGCTTCCAACCTGCAAACCAGCAATGGGAAAGACACAAGATTAAAATAAAAATAAATAGTAGATAAATCGGAAAGGAGAGTAAACTTCTAGCTTCTCAGAGGAGCTAAACTTCTAGCTTCTCAGAGGAGCTGCAGTTCATGCCTGGTCGAGCATTTATAATAAATTGTATCAGGAGAGTTGTAGGTCCGTGCATTAGCAAACATTCTCCGCACATCTGCCACAAACATATCAAGAGTAACATAATACTGCTCGGACTCTACCCTCTTTGACAATGTTTTCAGATCTGCGGACCAGATAATGCACTATAAAGCATCAGAATAGTATAAAAATGTGTTTGGCAAAACTCCAAGGATACACACGAATCTCACCACGTGAACATGTAGAACACTGTTTACGAGACGTCAGACGAGAATATAGATGACACAGAGGCAGATCATCAAAAACTTTGCAGATTTTAACCACTATTTAACTCCTTAAAATTTGAGAAAAAAAGATCCACCTTTTCAATGTCAAGACAGATAGATGAGAAATATACCCATTGGATCTTTAATGATGTCATAGTAATCAGGCACATCTCGCGCATCGACTGGTTCTTTGAACGGCCAAGCATCGGGGTGATCGTGCATTGCCTGGTCAAAAAGAGAAGTTATCAGTAGTGCCCTAACATTGCAGATATAACTGAAAAGCATGACACAGTAAGTGGAACCCCTTGCGAAGTATGTCCTTCTAATGTACTTAATAAATGTGATTATTTTTAAAGTACAACCATGTTCCACCACATCTTTGGTTGTCCAGCTTAATCTGAGAACATCTCAGATTAACCATTTTCAATAATGCACAATGACAGAGGTATATCCATCCCAAAACTGAGAAAATGCCGTAAGCTGTGCGAGTTCAAGTTTAAATATTTTAGATCATCATTTTGTTTATGGGGTTACCCGTCTCCACGAATAGGGTTACATTCAAATTTTACCATTTCATTTGAAGATATTTCCATGTGAAGATTAAGAATATGAAGCAACGGGAAAAATTAGTTGGATCCAAGTTTAGTGATCAAGTACATTAGTGTAAGCTTTTTGGTACAATTGTATCAATTTGTGATTGGTTGGGGGCTACCCAGTCAAAAATAGCTCGGTTTTTGATATGGAAGAATAAGAATCTTTCAAGAAAAAAACTTAGGAGACTTGCCTTCAGGAGTGACCGCATGAATGCCACCAAAGATTTCTGATGTGAGGCACCATCAGATGATAAATTTATTGTTTTAAACCGAGAATAACCGTACTGATCAGGTGTCCATCCAGCCTCCCCTATTATCAAGTCACAGCAAGTTCATATTA